TAAGCACTCATATACTGATGTGTGTTGGCGTACAATACGTGTACAGATGGGAATTAATGGTGGGCCAAAAGCGGTGATGGTTGCATGAAGAGATTCGCGACCAATAAAGACAAGCAGGAAGAAATCATTCAACGTCTTATTTAATTGTCTCCACGTTTACTAAGTCTAACGACGGCTATCCATCACCGCATGCTTCGCCCTCTTCACCAGCTGCAAAGATCGGGGCAGGCACAGGCACCATGGGACGCGCCCCTTGCTGCGACAAAGCCAACGTGAAGCGAGGGCCGTGGTCGCCCGAAGAGGACGAGAAGCTCAAGTCCCACATCGAGCAGCACGGCACCGGCGGCAACTGGATCACGCTCCCCCAAAAGATCGGTATGTCTTGCTCCATCACCCGCCATGGATCCAACTTTTGCAGCCAGTCTTCCACTTGTTTGTGTGCGTGTGTTGTTGTTGTTTGTTGTACGAAATAGGCCTCAAGCGGTGCGGTAAGAGCTGCCGCCTCCGGTGGTTGAACTACCTCCGGCCCAACATAAGGCACGGAGGGTTCTCCGAAGAAGAAGATAACATCATATGTCGACTGTATATCAGCATCGGGAGCAGGTGATCCGTCTGACATAACTTGTGGAATCCACCAACACAGCATCGATGCTTCTCTGATGTTTGGTTTTGTTGGGAAGCGCAGGTGGTCTGTCATCGCTGCGCAATTGCCAGGAAGGACCGACAACGATGTCAAGAACCACTGGAACACGAGGCTGAAGAAGAAGCTCTTCGGCAAGCAGTGTGACGACCGTCGACGGCACACCCACAGGATCACTCGCCCCGAGCAAGATAACATCGACCACGGCACCGGAGATCTCGGCATCATCAGCACCGGTGTCTCCCAGAGCGATTGTTACTGGGCTCAGCAGCCGGCGCTGTCGTATCCACCGCTCCGTCCAGTCTGCGAGGGTTCTGCAACCCCGGTGGCCCCTCCGCCGCAGAGCGTCTCATGCTATGAAGGTTATCAGAGTCCTACAGGCTTTTTGACTGAGCTCGATGAGATGTTCCAGTTCAACTCGGTAAAGTTAGAAGGATTGGATTGCTTTAACGAGATGAACGGAGGCAGTGCGTCGGCCGGCATGAACTGGAATCAGGTAAGCCCTTTGCTATGTGTGGTTCATGGGATGCAACAGCTCCCACCGCTGGAAGAGCCAGTGCAACTGGGCACTTCTGTGGATCTGTAGAACTTGCGCAGGTGTTGTATGTTTCTAATTGGATGAACCCTAAAGAACTCACTCTTTCGTATAGAGATGTTTGGTTTGTGATTCTTCTCATTTTAATTCTCGGTCCATTCTTCCCTTCTATCTCTCTGAATTCTCTTGATTGCATGATTAGTGTATATAGCAACTCTTAGCTAATCTACAACTCCAAACTGCCTTTCCTCTCCTAAAGTTCATTTCTTGTTGTACTTCAACCATGGTGGGATCTGTTCCATATGATGATGGCTACACCTAAAAGAAACTAATATGTGATGAAGGTCTTTGAGAACTTTGTATTTTCAACCAAGGTAGATAATAGGGGAGTCCTCACACTGATCTCCTGCATGCCAATCCTTGGACAAAGATCTCATAGGTATGTATTTATTTCTTTCCTTTGTTTCTGTGAACATACAAGAAGCTCCAATGTCAATGTTCTATGGATTCATATGTCATGCTTTTATTTTCTCTGTCTTACACATCAAGATTACAAACTTTTGAATTATCCAAGAAATGTTTACTTATAAGATCATCCAACTGAAACTTTAGCCATTTGCCTACTACTTTTAACTACTTATGTTTTCCAGAAAAGAACAGAAAGAGTAACCAAGTCCAATCATATATGTGATGGTTCATTCTTCTAGGCTTCCATTTAGGCTTCCAAGAACTACCATTCAGTATGTATGATTCACAAACTCAAGTTTACACAGTGACAGAGAAAACTATTCTGAGCTTACTTAACTTGAGAACAAATTCTACAAAAGTTATTTCTTTTTTCATTTGTCAAGCAAATTTCTGTCAGAGATATGTGTCATTCAGATGTCATATATACCATATTGTTATTCATTGTCACTACTATCTCAATTAGTCTACCTTCAATTTAGATTCTCATGACTATTGCAAAATAATAAAATCATAAACTCAGTTCATGTTTAATTCAACATTAGACATAGCAAGATTGACTGTATAAAATGTAACTCTGATAGGTATTCAAAGAACTCCTTCAAAGAAGTTGTAGATAATATGAAAGTTAAAGTCTAGAATCTAGATAAGCTAACTAAACTATAAGAAATCAAAAGAACATGTGTATGTTCATGTGACTTAGATTTAGTCCTATAATATGAAATTTTCTGGGGAGTAAAGCATTTATTCTTCTTCTTTTTATTAGTTGATACCAACTTGTTGAATTTGGTAGCCAGCAGCCACAAACAAGTCATTTTCTCCTTTATATCCTTCTTCAAATGACCAAAAACATGTTAGGAATCCATGAATTATCTACTAGATTAGGCTCAACTATATAATATTTGCTAACATTTCTCTAACCACTTTATACATGACTTGATGCAGCTCAAGAACATGCATTTCTACTTGATTTTGAAGTCAAATGCTTAGTCAATAACAACAAATGTTTATGTTCCAGAAGTCCATGAAAAGCTACAACTTTAATCAAATGTTAGCTGATGCACTACTGTCAGAAAAATATGTAATGCATCAAATAATACAGACATCTAATTATGGTGTTCATGTTGTGAATCCATCTGATTTCTGAGGTTTGAATGATCTTCCTCAGAGAACAACAATGCCAGGTAAATTGTTCTAACACAGAAGGGAAGTCCCTTTTTTGTACTTCTCCTTTGTGGTCCAAAGTCATATCATCTTATCAAAGGTAGAACGAAGAGTTGATTTGTTCAATAGTTTAGAGGAATCCTGGCCTCAAAGAGTTTAGATTAGAGACCTAATGCTGAAAGGTCTTCTTTCTTCAGTAGCAATTGTCACGTGAAGGAGGAAAAGTTTGCACCCTTTACTGAGAGAAAATTCAACATAGAGAAAAAGCTTTTGAAAGAGAAAGGGATGTGTGCCTACAATTGATAGGTATAGTAAAACTTATCCCATAGTCATTTGCTACCATTCCAATCAACAAGGCAAATGAAAAAAGAGGAAAAAGAACTGCATCTCTCCTGTACACTGTACAGAGAAAATAGTTAGATACTGAGAATCTACTTCTTGTTGAAGGAATGAAATGTGGCCTTCTGACTATTAGATACTGGTTATCTGGATCTATTCATTATCTTCATGCTTGTCAAGTTCATGCTTGCCATAAACTAGAGAAGATAACTACTACTTACAAAAGCTAAAACTAGTATGAAGAGATCCAACATTTTCTACAACCCATATATCTCAATATTTTCCTTGAAAAGATTTAGTGGTAGACACTCAAATATGAAGTTTCCTACATGAAATGTGCAAAATATACACTCATCATGAACTTCTCTCTCTCTCTCTCTCTCTCTCTCTCTCTCTCTCTCTGCAGTTAATAGCCCCATAGAACCAACTCCAATAGATACTGATCACATATAGAGAGAGACACACATACACATCAGCCTCCTCAATCCATTTATTTGAAGGATCAAATTCCAAAAATTATCTTTAGCACCATAACAATAACCTGATGGAAACAAAGTGGATTTCCCTTTTATTTTTCTTTTGTATCAGCTAAATTGCAACATTTAGAAGAGATTGGTCTCTTTTAGAATTATAGATTTCCACCTATGTAAAACTTAACAAAGCTGAAGTTTTATTATTTTAGATCCAAATCCATAGTCCAGTTGAGTCTTCTAGCTTTACATTTTCATAAAGTATTATGTTAACAGCAGTGCCCTCCATGTTACAATTGGAGATAGTATTTATTCTTGATAGATAGACTATAAGTGGTGGCTTTAAAGTGGTAGAGAATATTGCATAGGAAGTAAAGTTCAGGAAGAAAACACCCAATGCAAAACATCAAATGCAACAACTTGACAGCATTGCTGCCAACTCATCTTAGTATAATAAATTAACACATCAAAGTGCACTTTTCTTAAGGTTCACATGACAAATCCAAACTACTCATCCTTATTGGCTAACATATTCTTGTGATCTCAGAAGATCATTAGTTTTATGCTTCCTCCTGCGCTGGTCTTATTCCTCCACATCCTATAATTCATTTATATGGGGATCCTTTAGCCTTTATATATGTGAAGCTGGTGGTATGGCTCAGATTGAGTTGTCGAAGGAAGCTTTAAGGAACAAAGCTAAGTTTGTGGTGTATTGTTTCTGTCATCATCATGTAGCTACTAACATCATGCAGATTAAAGGAATCAACAAAGGAGAAGCACATGTTTGCATGACAAGTGAAACAATTGGAGTTTGAAATGAAAGTAAAAGTCAATATATTAAGCTTGCATAGGGATTTCCCTGCCATTAGCACTAAACAGCTAAAACTTCTTCTGCAACCCATCTCCTTCTACAGTTCTCCTAATACAAGCTACAAGTCATCAAGATTGATGATAGTTCATGCAGTGGCAGATATTATATGCAGTTCAAACAAACATACCGTATTAGTGGCGGATAACAGTGTTCTAATAATGTTGACAAAATCAAATGAAATGGACAAACCAAGTGCATATGGAAAATTCCCAATTCCATATATACTGTGTACTTCAAAAAAAATTTCATCACTGTTCATCCTATACCTGAAGACATGCATTGAATGAATCAACCTAAGATCTTACCTTACTTTTGTCTGAATGGGCTTTGTAAAGATGAAACCTAATCCAAAGTTCCATAAACATTGATGAAATATAAAGGTTTATGAACTGATGATAAATGCTTTCTTTAGAAACCAAATGTGACTATAATATTAATCTAGAAAGATGTAATTCTATAACATTTGCAAAGATATTCACTTAGAATGTATTTTTATTCTTTTAATTTAGCATGGTGTTTAATATGTCCATTAGCAAGTATTTGTGCAATGTTCATTCCTCTCTTTGGCTGGGCTCTTGGAATCCTCCTAATTAACTTATCAAGCCTATAATATAGCTTACACCTGAGAGAGGATGTCAAAATATAAGTAAACATTGAGCCTCTCTTAACAATTTAAATTGTTGAGATAATTGTAGCTCAATCGAAGTATTTCACTATTTTGTACAGCCATATAAATGTTAAGGAAGACATAAATATAATTCTCTATTTAATTGAGACATCCAAACATAAATAAGAAGGTTTGGAAGGGTATATTGGCAAAATTAATGGAGAATCTATCGACAACTTATGCTTTCCACGTGTCGTGTGAGCAACCCTCTTAATACCAGCCTGTTGAATGGTTTTAAAGATCGGGCCCTACTGCTTAATCGGGCCCCACTGGTCAATCCTTCGGGACAGGTAGGTAAGACGGGTAGGGGATCGGCCGAAAAGAGAAAGTGCCACTCGTCTTGTCATCTGCTTCGGGAACCAAAGCGCCACCCGTCCCGCTGACGCCGCGCCCCGGTCCGCCGGCCACACCACCGCTTTCTTTATCGGTTCGCGAGGCTTGTGCAGTAGCTTTCCGTAATCGATTCCCATTCCTATTCCTCCTCCCACGCTTCCACTTACTTGTCTCGCATCTCGCATCGAAATCCGCTTTCTTCACCCACAAGAAAGGTGGCGGTGGGTCTCATGGTGCAGGTGCTGCAATCTGGAACCTTTTTGCTCATCTTCTCGTGCGTTCTTGTAATCGGATATACATAGAGTTAGAGTTTGGATATCAAGTATAGTAGCAGGAGGAGGTGGTGGAATTTGGATGGCGGCGGAGTACCACTGCTGCGAAGCCAACTTCTTCATCCACATACTCATCATAACGCTGCTGGTGCTCTTCGCCGGCCTCATGTCCGGTCTCACCCTTGGTTTAATGTCGCTCAGCCTCGTCGACCTCGAGGTCCTCGCCAAGTCTGGAACTCCCCAGGATCGCAAGCATGCCGGTACTCTCTGTTTTTGCCGACTATGAATCACTACGTTTTGCTTAATCAGGTATCAAGTTTACTGTAGCTATCAGACTGCCTGACTTAGTATGTTCATTTGATATTCTTCTTTATCAGAGGTGGATCGGCAGTCGTTTCTTATTCGATAGAGTCAGTGTATGTAAATTTTTTGGGGTTTTTGAAGGTTTCGAATAGAAAAGATTGGTTTCAGATGGATGTTTATGAATAGAATTTCTTAGTTTCTCTTAGCCTTAGAATTATGGGAGTGAGTGTTGCAACTAAAAGGTCCTACAGTGAATGGATGAGTTGCAATAAACTGTTAATTTTAGTTGTCTGCAAAAGCTCAGCCAATTAATTGAAAGATGAACATTTTGCATTCTTTGTCATCTACTAAATTCTGCTACTAAGCTATTATTGGATTAGGTAGTCTCAGTAGAAATCTATTACTTTCTTCAGGGAAAGATAAACTGTCAGCTCTATAACTCTGCTCCTTAGGCATTATAGAGGCCAAGTACATGTAATTGAGAATATTCAAGTTCTATTTAATAAGACTCAAATTGGTGCACTCTTATGGCAGCAAAGATACTCCCTGTTGTAAAGAGACAGCATTTGTTGCTATGCACACTCCTGATCTGCAATGCTTCCGCCATGGAGGTAAAGATGTGTTTGATTTGTATGTTAATTTTGATGTTTTTGATCTGAGGTCTTGTGTTGAGAGGCTTTGCTTTCCTTTCTTCAGGCTCTCCCTATATTTCTTGACAGTTTGGTTACAGCATGGGGTGCTATCCTGATTTCAGTAACATTGATACTTCTCTTTGGGGAGGTAAGCTTTCAAATATAATATCCTCTATAATATTTGGGATAATTGATTGCCATTGTTGATTGTGTACATAGATCATCCCCCAGTCTGTCTGTTCTCGGTATGGTCTGGCGATCGGAGCAGCAGTTGCCCCAGTTGTTCGTGTACTTGTGTGGATCTGCTTTCCTGTTGCATATCCAATTAGCAAAGTAATGTCCTATGATTTTTTTTCACTTTTTTATTACATTTATTACTACATTATCTCTAAGCAGCACAGATCTCTGTAGTTATGATTCTTTGTCCCAGGTCTGCTTGTGGTAGCTTTTCTTTGTATTACAATTGTTTTATTCCATCATGTTTAAATTCTTAAGACTGAATTTTTTTTTTCCAGTTTCTGGACTATTTGTTAGGGGATGGACATGTGGCTCTCTTCCGTAGAGCTGAGCTAAAAACACTTGTTAGTTTGCATGGAAACGAGGTATGTTGTTAAATTATGAAAAAATGCACCACTTATACATGTCGTCATTTAAATTTACAATAACTTTGCCTCTGACTCTTATTTTCTTTATGTTATATAAATAGTAATTAGTTATCTGTATGAGACATTGAAATGCTTCTCACCTCAAATAAGTTTTTTGGATTCAGTTTGTTGCACTACAATTTCCAAATGCTATCATGAAAAAATTATTTTTTTCCCAATTTTATTGTTAATTGTGTGATCATTTAGCAGAATATCAGATCAATGGTTCAATGGTGTACCCAATGTGACTAAGAACTAAGTCAGAGAAATTATAATATCAATCCAATGATGAATTCACTGTGACCAAGGAGTAACTCAGAAAAATTTTAAGGTCATAGACTCAAAGTTCTCTAAATACACGTAGTAGTGTGTTCAAACAACTTAAACAAAACAGAAGGTCAAATTTTATTAGTGCATCGTACCAACTTAAACAAAACAGAAGGTCAAATTTTATTAGTGCATCATACTTGGAGTTTATTGACACTACCAACTATGAGCTCCAGGACAACAATCCCAAGGTTCATTAGCTTCACCATGTTTTGTTTTTGCAAATTTGTAAAAGCATTTACCTTGCCAGAAACCAGGAACACACTGATAAGAACCAACAGTACTATTTTCAGTGATTGTAGATTGTTTTCATGTTCAGTTGCTTTGCCAAAATACTTCAAGGGAACACGAGGTGTGGCTGAATGTGAAAAAATACATAAAATTTTATTGTAAACTCAGTGTCGATGATTGGCTAATTTGGATACAGAAGCTATTTAAAACTTGTGCTGACTTAACTTCATTACCAACTTCATCCAGGCTGGTAAAGGGGGAGAGTTAACCCGTGATGAAACCACAATCATTGCTGGAGCGCTGGAACTTACGGAGAAGAAGGCTAGAGATGCCATGACCCCTATATCTCAAACTTTTGCAATTGATATCAATGCAAAACTTGATAGGTTCCTTCCTTTTATTGATTACCGTAGAGAATCTAATATCTTTCAGATGTTTTCTGACACTGATATTGTTTATACTTTGATATGTGTGTAGGCATTTAATGAATAAGATTTTGGAGAAGGGGCATAGTAGAGTCCCAGTCTACTATGAAAAACCAACAAATATAATTGGCCTTATCTTGGTAATTTTATTTATTGGCATTTTTCCAAAAATTAAATGGCCATTTTTTTCAATATGATTAAATTAGCAGCCATAATTCTATTTTTATGATTCTTATTATTAATTTTTCATAATCTTGATTAACTTTGTCCCAACATATGTTTGTTAATTTTTGAAATTAGGTTCTAGTTCATGTATCTTATTTACTTCAAACATTTCAGAAGTCTGCACTTTATGGTCTTTTGATAACTATCTTCTTCGACAAAATATTTTTGTTTGTTTTTGGACAAAAGTTGCCAAGATTTGTAGATCATAAAACTGTGATATATTATGTCAGCATATATTAATTTGTTTTCATGGGTAGCTAGAAAATATGTGATTTGACTTGCGACTTATGATCATAGATGATTGTTTGAGGCTCATTCTATACTTGAAGAGATTGGAAGAGTTCAATGCATGAGTGGTTTGTCTTCTATTATTGTATGAATTATCAAATTTGGAAGTTCTAGTGTTTAACGTATTTCCTCGTGTATGAAGCTTATTTGGAAATAATAATGGAATTTTTCAGTTATATTTGTAGAAATGCACATAAATAAATGACCATATTATAGGTATTTACATGTATATGCATCAAATAGCGTACTCACACGGAACCATATTTATGTGTCTTTGGATTGTAGAATAGGTTAGTTATAGATATGGGACAGATAGGTATATTAAGAGCGACAAAATACTTAATTTTGACATAGCCAAATTATCATTTACTTAAAAAATTATAGAACTTCTGTACCAATTTGGCCACCTCTTGTCCACTTGTCATGATACCAAGGATAATTGTTGTTTGTCATATGATTCTCACTTATTTTCATGAATTTTCAGGTAAAGAATTTGTTATCTATACATCCTGATGATGAGGTGCTTGTTAGGAATGTAACAATTAGGAAGATTCCAAGGTATTTGCTAAACTGATTGAGAGTTTTTTTTTAAGAAATGTTTTTCGCTTAGCAATGGAAGTTAGTGAATAATGTAATGGAATGTCTTGGTTAATGTTATTTTACAGTTTAGAAATTATTTAACCTCTTATTAAAGTCTAAACATTTACACAACTTTTCACCATGTTGGTACAAAATTAACAGTGTTGTTTGACTTGCCATTGTGCTCTTAATAAGCAAATTTTGACAAAAGTGATTAGTTGTTGGCGTATAGAGGCAAATTAAAGTAATTCAATTTCTTGAACAATGGTGACGTAGAGAGAAATTGACTTGTTTGGAACTTGGAAGACTAGAAGTATTCATGATGACAAGCTTAGCAAATTATTTTTTAAAAAAAATTAAAACATGCTTTACATGGATTCAAGGTTGCTGAAGACTTGTCTCCTTGCATTTACATATTGTCCTCATTTTTCATATTCAGAACATATTTTCTCTGTCAAATTGGAGATACTAAGTGGGTGGCTCATATATCTTATGCCATCTAAACTATTCAAGAGATGTTTCATTCCCCATTATAGCCTCCATTCATTTGATAAATAACAATTTTTTTTAAATTGTATACTATGTGCAATGTTAACTCAATAGTATTCTAGCTCTACTTGCCTTCACCATTCTAAGATGGCATAAAAATGAAGTCTCTTTTTGCATGTCAATACTGGGTTACTAGTGGATGGTAGGTTGATTTTTTTCCTCATAAGAATTCTACCCGACTGTGAAGATCCTTCATTTTGAATGTTAGAGAATCTTTCCCCTATCAGGAAGTTTTGCCTTTGATCCTCATTTACCAAAAGTTGCTTCCCTGATTTTATGGCAGATGACCCTTTTGTGGCTTTAAGGTCTAATGGATTTAATGGGTCTTTTACCCTATTTGTATATGATAATCAACTTGTGACCCTTGCAGGCCAAGCTGGTGGACCTACTTCCCATGTCAAGAATAATATATAAAGAGTTCTAACCTTGGTTCAAATCAAGGATTCAAATTCAAGTTTATACTAGATATAGATACAGTGTTGGACTGGTAAATTATGTTGGTACATATGGTATATTGTGTGTGATATATACTGCTAGAGAAAAATAATAATAAATATGATTAATGTTTTGGCATAGTTTTGTTTGATTGGTGTGTTGTATAGCAGTATACGATTAGACTGGTGTGTATCAGTCAATATGATCATTACCTAGTACTTGAATTCATTGAACAAAAACCTTTTGAACTACCCCACTTACATACTTGGATTCCATTTTATAAAAAAAAAAAACATGCTTAAAATATTTAAGAACTCATTTAAGTCAATATAATCCAATTCTAGCAGGGGAATACCAAAGGATTGATAACGAGACTCAATTTTTCCGACTTCTTTCTTCTCATATTTCATCTTTGGGTCATTGTTAGCTTTAAGAAGGGTAGATTGATCAAGAATGTGTTTTGAGTTCTAAACTCCTTTATGCAGACTTCAGAAAAAAAATTTTAATTCTGCGACATACTCTGTAAATGTCATTTTGGGTGGTAACCTCAATTTTTATTTTCAGACATTTTCCTGACACTATACACTACTGTCATGAAAGATAATTTATGCATCTAGTGACACTTCGGTCCTTCTTTTTGTTATCCTACAAGTATGTTATTAAAAGATGCTATTTGTGTTAATATATCCTGTCAATAAATTATTTTGAGAAAGTTTGATTTCACCTTTAACGTATAGTTATTGGTGTGCATGATATATGCACTTTAAATTGCAGAATCACTAACTTTTCTGAACGGTAGGGTTCTTGAAGACATGCCGCTCTATGACATCTTGAATGAATTCCAAAAGGGCCATAGTCATATGGCAGTTGTTGTGAAGCAAGCAAACCCAACAGAGCAACCAAACAGCCATAGAGATGGTAGAGCTCCTTATAGAATCCTTTTAGCTTCAAGAATTCTATCTTATAAGTCAGGATTTTCATGCAATTGTTTACGGCAATGTTTTGATTGTCAATTTGTTGCGCAACTTCAAATTTAATGATTATCCTTTCTTTTTTATCTTGTTTCCGAATTGCATTCCTTGTAAAATAAGACCTGAGGCTGGATATAATTGGCGATAAGCTTAATGAGAAAAGTCCCAAAGGTATTAACCCGATAAGCCGGACGAAGAGTTATCCTTCAAACTCAAACTCAAGCAGGAGCGGCAGTAGAAGTAGAAAATGGCTCCGTGATTCTACCGCAGACGTTTTGCAGATTGATGACAAACCTTTGCCCAGTGTCAGTGAGGAACAAGAAGCCATCGGCATAATCACGATGGAGGATGTCATAGAAGAGCTACTACAGGTACAAATGCAGAATTTATGAATTAGCTTCAGTTTCTTAATTTATGAACTATATTGTTGATGTTTCTTTTTTTCTTTCAGGAAGAGATTTTTGATGAGACAGATTATCCAGAAGAACGATAGTAGTGAGAAATCAAGTTATCAATGTTCGAATGAAACATATATGGCTTAAGTACAATTATGGGTACATTCCACAGCAGCTCAACCAGAAAAGATGGGTTTGTTTATGTTGTCTCTAAATAAAATCTATAGTTAATACTGTGTGTATGAATAACTAGACTTCTTGTCTTATTGTATGTATGAATAGAGGAAACAAGAATTGTGGTTGCTGCATGAAGTTATTAAGCCAAATGTGTTTCTTGTGTCTGCAATCTGTCTAAATTTATTAGCTTTTCATGCCTGGTGGAAAACTACTGATCATGGCATGATCTCTTCCCACAGATTGACTAAAAAGAATAGGCTACAGTGAGAATGTTGCAATGTTCTGTCACAGTGAGTACAAGAAATTGCTACTTGTGTCACTTGATTCCACCTCATATTTAAAGGGATGAACTGCACATGCATTGCTGCTACATAATCTTGAGGACTTGTACTAATACTCTTCCTCGAACAAAGTGACAAATCCAGCTGTGGAGAACATGGCAACCTTCCTTGCTTTGACATCCTTGAATTGAGGAAGCCACTTCCCTGTGCTGATGACAGTCTCTTCTGGTAAGTCTTGATGTGTTCAAAGGCAAGCATAGTTATTGTCTTACAAATGTCACAAAGAAAGCCAGTACAAAGAACAAGCATTGTGAGGAGCCAATTGACCAAGACAAGAACACCTCATAATCTCACCCTTGTTACAATTAGGGTTCCACCAACTGGTTCATTTTGGCATCCTTAGATCAAGTTCATGAACTAGGTCATCCATCTTGATCTGTTTATGAAAATTATATATTGATTTCATCCTGTATTTTCAGTCAAATCACACCAATGGCTGGTGCACCAGACATTCAACTTGAATCATTTTTTTCCAAAGCAAAATATAATCATCAACAATGGATGTGATGATGCATATGATCCTTCAAAATTTCTTTGTAGTGAGGTGTAACATGATCATCAACACCTTCAATGCTCCATCACCATCTTCTATTCAAGAAAGAGTGCCTTGACCACAGATGTCCATCTTGGCTTCCTCCACCACATTTCAGCCTTTGTCCTGCAGAGTCAAATGCTGTGGATTTGAATTGGTCCAATACATCACCTCAATCTTAATCAACATCTACCTACGGAAAGAAGACAGAGTCCTATCTCATGTGGCACCTCTTCCCAGAGGCACATGAAGCCTAGACAGACTCTTAATGATAAGGAGTCTTGTGCTTGGAGGATTCCATGAGCTTTTTGGATTACAATCCATTTCATCTCACAAGACATAACTCATGATTTGATGGGATCCACAACCTCCTTGTGCCATAACTTTGATGACACTAACTTCATTACATTACAAACATGATTGAGATTGGGCAATGGATTGCACATATTTCACACCACTCATCTACAATTACATGAATGGGGCCACCTTTCATGTATATATCATACACCAAACTTCAGATTAGAGAGGCAAATGCTAATACTTGGATTTTCCAAATTAATATTAGTGAAAGAAAGCATGTTTTTTTTGATGTTACAGTAATAAGCTCTCCTGTATGGCTTTATCTGCTGACAATTACTTCACTGTACTTTGTGGAATAAAATAGTGCTGCCTTGGAGACAAAAGTAGCCTTCCCAGTGCAGACCAAATGGCCATAGTTTTTTGAGTAGCTGCAGTATGGAGCTCCTGTTCATGTCTTCGTGTGGGTTGAGTGGAACCTTCCTCAAGAAAAGCTGTCAAAAAATATCACAAGCAAGTCACTCAGAGAAATCATGCATGCGAAGACTGCAGCTGTAATGCACTCACGATGATGATAGGACCTTCCTACACCTCCATGCTTCCACTGCAAGCATCATTTGGATCCACCTAACACATGCAGTGATTCCCTTCTGCCATTCAACCTGGTAGGTGTTCCTTCTCTTCTCCCCACTTGTCCTTCTCTGAACAGTCAACAAGGAATATTGCTGGAGTATCTATCAATGCAGGGTTTCAGTCCCAACATTGAGCTGGAAGAAGAATGCAAGAGTATCCATTAATTTGAATACTAATATGCAATCATATATAGTCAACTAATTAAAAATTAGGGATTGGTGGCCAAGAGTTTGTAGTATATCTACCTTCTACAAGATGTCCAAATGTCTTTTGCCAAACAAAATGTTCCTAGTTTTCATCTGAACAACTGTAAATAATAAAATAACTTTAAAGGTTGTAAGTTGACAATAGATACAAGAAGTCATGGGATCAGTAGGCAATAGTATTAATTAAAATGTTGTATTTTATGTTAGGATCATCCTCTTTTGTATTAATTCAAGTCCCATGCAGTTCTCCTATCCCAGAAAAGAAAGAAAAAAAAAGAGAAGTGATGCATTAAACAAGCTGAATATGTTGAGGAACAAGCCACAAGTTTGACACCACTTTCACATATTTAACAAGAGCTTTTAAACACAATAATTAAGCTTTTGCAGTTACATTATGCAAAGAACACAACAAAACCTATATTATATATTAAAATAGACTTAAAATGTTCCTTAACTTTGCCAAAGGGAAAACAAAACTTTGACCATTTAAGTATCAGCTGTTGTCTAATATACTGGTCTAAAATCTTCCTGCTTGCTTTACACCTGTAATACACTAAGAAGTCTACATACATAGATAGATGACATTTGCATCCTACCAAAATTGAGGATTCTGCATTATGTGTAGTAATTAATAAGTTGATAGCATTTGAAAGGCTCCTTTGATCAAGAACAAAAATCCTTCAGGGCACTGCACCTTGACATTTGTAATGATGCCACCATATCACTCTGCTACAAGATCAAAATTCCAGACTAGACTACATGCTTACAGATGCCAAGCTGCAATGCTTTGAAGGATTCAACTCATAGTTCATGGAACAGGAAGGAACCAACCCTTTCACACAACACATTACATAAAAATAATAGAATATTAAGTGTCGTCACTTTGCTTGCTACATAGAGTTTGGTGTAGTACATGTGTCAGAAGGTTTTCAGCATTTACTGCAGTCCAAAACCTTCTGCTTTATACATTGAAAAAACATACGGAAGATCGTAGTTAAACAAAAACATGTAATATTCTTGCAGTCAGTCAATAATCTTGCATCCATTGGTATACATATATATACCTGAGGTGATTACACGGGAAGATAGGTCTGAAGAGTTCAAACTTCAAAACACTCTCGAACGTTGGAAAAAGGGGGCGACTCCATGGCGCCTTTCTCCGTGGAGTGGTCGTAAGGAAAGCGAAAGCTCGAAGCAAAATAACATATAATAATGACACCGGCGAATGGCTACCGCCAAAAAAAGGGGCGCAGACAGCAAGACAACGCGGGCACGTCACGGGCCGGGTCCGCGTGGGGCCCCTGATCACGGGCGCCTGCTTTGCTGACGCTTGTCGCGCGGCAGAGCTCCCGAGGCCGTCCTGTGACGGGCCGATCCGTTACCGCACGACGACGATGTCAGTTGCCGAACGGCAGAATGGTAGAATTTCAAATTTACCCTCCGGTCATTTTGTTGCTGTCTACTTTGGGACGACGACAACGCTTGCCTTTATGGACGGCCGAGATCCGATCTGAACACCAAACTCTCGGCTCTCTCATTCCTTCCATAAAAGATTTTTTTATCATCGAAAAAATATATAAATTGAGATCTGATATAGTTTTAAGTAAAATATAATGCATCCCTATTTTTCATTCGGGCCAATTTGATACTCTTAGAAACTGTAAGGGGCTTGAATCCAATCGAGATTTAGAGGTTTCATGGGACAGAGGATTTGATTGACAATATGATAAAATTGTGTTAGATAGTATTCCACAAAAGTTCTTAAATTTATAATAAATTTGAACGATTTTGAAAGAAAAATTAGGGATTAAGATTTTTCTTTTCTTTGATGGTGTGTATAAAAAAAAAAAAATTTATTTTATAATGTACGAAGATGATCATCGAAATAAAATCATTATTAATATCAAAAATAATTACATAGATTATTCAATTATTATAAAGTTATGATATTATGCATCAAACAGTCAGTATTATGGTTGTGGATGAAGATTACTTATTATTGTCTAGATCGACTAAACTCGAGTTAGGTATCTTTGTTGGCATCGAATGATCATCGTCACGAATCATAAACCTAATTGATGTATATCAATCGAGTGGATATGATGTCGCATCGAGATAAGATTTTTAATTTTACAAATCAAATTATTTGGCATCCAAAGTTCTACTGATCCAATGAGAATTTTGATAAGGTCATTTAGTCCCACATTAATTGAGGAGAACGAGAACCAATGGCTCATAAGTCCGTCGGATCTTTCTTATTTTTATAGGAGTTTTTTAGAGCTCACATACTTTGAAAGGACAAACCCAATATCCAAATATGCCCATCGTCCAAAACAAAAAATTTCTCACGAACCTACCGGCACCGATAATCATTAGACATTGGTAGAGTCATGAATAATCAATTTGCCATCATCATCCAAAAAAAATAAGTACCTTTACATATATTTCCTTCTAAATTTTGGAAATAGCATATTTGCTCCTTTTAAGATTTAATATCCACCAAATGTTATTTTCATTGAAAACTTGAATATAAAAGAATAAAACAAAAATTACTTATTTTAAGGATGAGTAATATTTCTACAAGGAGTTAATAATATTTGCAGTTTCAACTTTGTGATGCTAATTGACGGTTGACGAAAATTAATGACCGTGATATTTATGCAACTTTGACTTCTATAGGACTTTGGAGGCAAATATATGCAAATTTACCCAAAATAATAAATTATTATCACACAAGTGTCTTACGGTAATCTCACTAAAAAAAGAAAGCAATCTATAGTGGCCGAATTATTTAGGATCAATTAATTTTTTTGTTTATCGACACAAGAAATGTCGAGACTTATTTTGATGTTGAAAGTGTTTTTTAAGTTCGTATATTACCATCCAAGTATAATGAAAATGTATTATGCCGGAATTATGCGTATGTGACATGATACCATAGGTAAGAAGTTCTTATGGGGTAATTATATATTAGGTTTTAGTTTGACCTTTTTTACATTTTGATCATTAGATTTAAAATTTTATATTAAAATTTATATAATTATAAAATAAAATTATTTAATTTTATTTATCCCAACGTTGATGATTTTATCGACGAAAGATACAATACGTGACACCAT